AATACCAGAATCTTCTCCAACACGATTCTAGACTAAAAGAATTCAGGTACGGAAATGTTCATCTCGAGCAGCAAGGCACTGATTTCCATTTGAAGATGCAGGCCCTTTGGTCACACAGAATAGCTCAGCCTTTCTCCCAGCAGCTGACCCTGCAGAAGATGAGGGATGGCCGGAACAGCAATGGGAGCACACACATCACCACAGTGCATTATCCATTTCATTTATCGCCCCCATCTGATGGATGGCCTGAGAATCCCTCAGTGGCAACTGTTGTTTCACTCCCCAGTTTGACACTCTTTCCTAAAGCATTCTTCTTCAAAGATCATAAGTACTCATAATTAAAAGACTGCTTATTTATGAATGGATACCAGCTGCTTCTCCCTTCCTCATGGAGCAGCAGAGATGGCAATATCTCAAGAACCACTCACAAAGAATTGCATGTCATTCAACAGCCTCCCTACAACTTCTCCAAGGAGTAATTGCAAGTGCCAAGTGTGCAAACAGAGGTCTAATTGCATCACCTACTATTTCTTTTCTAAAGGTGCAAAAGCCAATGAATTAGAAGCTGGTTCAATTCTCACACATCAGACAAGAAGTCATTTAGTTGTGCCTGTCTGATTTACCTGATAGCGAGTGGTAACATTCTATAGAACACAGTGGGAGAGACCCTATACCATCTGCACAGACCACCATAAAACAGCCATATCCTCCTCAACCAATCCAGACATCTCATTCTTGTATGTCGACACACCAATAAAACTTCTGTGAACACTGTAACTGCTGTAAACTTGAAGTAATTACGTTGTAAGTTATGAACAGCAACATTGTGGTATTCTCCAAAATAAGAATGGAGATTCTGATACGTAATTATACAGTAAAATATATCAGATAACTTTCAGAAATTTTCAAAATATTGGAAATTCAAGAGGCTTTCAGAAACCTGCATAAACTATCTTGTGCTGTGTCAATGGATTACAAGCCCTGAAGGAAAACCAGCTCTGTACCCAAACAAGCGTATGAGAACAGCTGGCCCAGGCAGCGGAGACCTGCTGTCACCCATCAGCGGCTGCTGCGCTCTTTGTGTTCTGCCTCCTGCCCCAGCATCCTCCCCTCCCCTCCCCTTTTTGCACTACCTTCTCACTTCCTTCTGTCCACTCCAAATAAGCCCATGTTATGCACACACAAAAACCATTTTTACGGTTGTTTAGGCTGAAGCACAATAAAACCCGTGAGACCATTTCATGAAAAGTGGCAGCACCACAGGGAAAGCATGGTATTAAAAACAAAACACAAACAGTAGACCATCTGCTGACAGCATCTTGTTTGACCACTCTTACAATTGGTGAGAATGGAAGAGACGTGACACAAAATCCAGGATGTGAAGGCACAGTGTTCATGTGATGGTCACCAAAGGTAAGCTGCCAGAGGACAGGGCACAACAGTAGGGTAGCAGGGCAGATAATCAACGGAAGCAGGAAGGGCCAGGGAGACAGAGCAAAAATCATTTAGTTTAAGAGAAATAATCTAACAGTGACAGAAGAAAAATGGCACACGTCTGCTATTCATTTTAATTGTTTTGATAAACTGAGAAGCTGGAGCAACATTTTTCATTCACCCTTATTTTCAAAAGACACTGCACCCCTGCCTCATACAAATGTCTGGGTGCTGCAAGCAAGTGTTCCAGATTTGCTCCCAGGTACAGGTCAGGACCAAGGGATCCATTCTGAAATGCCACCCCTTCCAGTTTCCTCAAGCCTACCACTTGCATTCAGTTTTCCAGAAGATGTTTGTAGAACATATTCCACTTTCTAAATGCAAGCATAAAGTGACAGAGAACTTCTGTCTGCGTACATTCAGCAAAGCATTTCTAAGATAACTCACCAGGGATAACAGTGAGACACAGCCCCCAAACAATAGTCGAAATCTTCTAGTAGCATCGGGATAAAAGAGGAAGAAGCCATACAGAAACTCCTCACTTTCACAGAACAGTCCCATCCCACTGCCACAACAGGCTGCTGTGGTGCCAACTACATGGCTCTCTGCATTCAGGGAAGCCAGTGTGACACGCCACACACACATGGGGTAACCGACAGAGCACACGACATTCACAGGCAGCCAGTGTTCCTGGTAAGCATTGGCGCAGTACCCACAAACAGTGGAGTCCGGCTCCGGTTCGGCTGCTGGTCCCTCTGCCCAACCAGGGGTCACTGCAGGAACGGAGCCAAGCGATGCACACAGGTATTGGCTGACCGTATTTTCAAAATATGCTAATGGAAATGACATGTAAGTAGTACCAAATGAACTCTATTCATTACAGGGAGTTCACCCACTCAATTGAGCAGCTAGAATTACTCGGAAGATTACAGGATTTTGCTTCTACCGTGGCTGCAAACAATCAGCCCTTCGTTCTGTTCCCAGATACCCAGCACAGCCTCCACTCCCCTGTGACAACACTGTAAGCACACCCAGCCCTAGCAGTATTTTTAGCAGGGGTGTTCAATCAATATCGCTATGCACAACCTAAATTAGGCTTTAGCAGGACAACAGAATTTAAATCTCATTTGTTGCCATGCTTTACATAGAAAACTGTACTGAACAAGAAATAATCACTGAAGTGAACCCTAAGGAGGTGAATCTGACCGCAAGCAAACTTCACAGCAAAGACAAGGAAAGCGTACTAGGAGGTAAAATATTAATGTACTTCTGCTTTTGAAGAAAACACAATTATATTTCAACGCTTGAGTTTAAAAACAACCTACAAATAAAAACATTTAATAAAAATTACATCAACAAGAAACTGCAATGACAACAAAGTTATCTTCAGATATCAGACCAACGCTTACATTTCTGAGTTCGTACAACCTAAACGTGCCTGGGAAATGCAAACAAACACGTGCACGTTAGCTCATCGCCCAGAACCATATTTTATCAACACAGCGCAAACTAAGTTCTGCCAAGATGTAAAAACAACTTTTAGGTCAGTGAAGCAAGAAATCCATTGTGGAAAAAAATGGCATCCGTAAGATTATGATACGAAGTATTTTACATTCAGGCAACGAACCGCAGAACTTCCCTTCAATATCCACATCTAACAAGAAGCCAGTTTCGCCAATTCTAATCTCGTTCACGTGCCCCTGCAGCACACATCGGCGGCGTGACGAACACACGGATGTCTGCGTGTGCGCGAAAGCAGCGGCGGCTCCAGGAGCAGAAAGCAGCGCTCTGCCTCCAGCGCACGGCCGGCACGGTGCCTCCCCACGCGCACCGAGTCGAGTTCAGGGCAGCGGATACCCGCGGACGAGAAATCCATGCGCACGCCGCCCTCCGACAGCGAACCTCCAGCTGAAACCCATTAGCACCTCTGTAATACACAACCGACTCGAATGTTTTCCGTGTCCCAGCCGAAACAACCACCGCGCGGCCACCCCGAAACCTTGCAGGGCGCAAACGGCAGCGCGAAGTTCAGCCGCGTGTACCGCACAGCTGAGCCGCGCGCGCGTCTTGGCACGGAGCGACGCCGCCAGCGCTTCGCCTACACGGCAGGCACGGCGTTCCGACAGCGGCTGCTGGGGAGCGCGGGAGGAGAGGAGCGTCCCTCAGCCGGGTACGTGCGGTTGGTTATACAACCCTTCTGCCGGAGGGAGAGACTGAAAACGGACCGGAGCCACGCGACGACCGCGTTTCCCCGTCCCTATCCGGAGCAACGTGCCTGCGTGTGCCTAGAAAGCGCAGCGATGCCAACTTTCGGGCTGTAATTCGGCCGCGGCTGCTACGCCGCCGTCCCGCAGGGCCCCCGGCTGCAGGAGCCGGGCTCCCGAGCCGCAACGGCGAGGGGGGAAGGAGGGTTTCGCCGGGGGTGACGGCGTCGCGCGGCCCCCCGCCCGCCTTACCTTCATATAACAGCCACGTCCTTGCAGATGGAGCGGGGAAGGGGGCGGCCGCGGGAGCGCGGAGGAGAGAGGCGCGGGGGCTGCGCTCGCCGCCGCTGCCCCGCGACCCCCGCCGCGGGGGCGCGCCCGGGCACGCGCTGAGACGCGCACGCCCCGCACCGCCTTCAGATCCCCCGCAGCGCCCGGCCCGGCCGCGGCCTCGGCAACGGCGCCCGCAGCCGCAGCAGCCGCCCCGCGCCCAGCCGCAGCGGCGAGGACCACATCGTACTGCGGCGGCTGGGCCGAGGGACCGGCTGAGGGGCGGGGGGAGGGACGGGGAAGCCCGAGAGGGAGGGAGGGAAGGAGGGAGGGAGAGAAAGCGGCGGAGCCCCGTCCGGCTTCTCCCTCCCCCGCTCCTCGCGGCAGAGCGTCCCTCACACGGGACGCGGCGCCGCCTCGCGCGGAGCGGCAGCCGGGATGCGGCAGGCAGCGGGGAGGCGACGGGGCCGCGCCGAGGCGCCCTGCCTGCCGGTGGGGGAGCGGACGGACGGGGGAGCGAGGGGGGAGCGGGAGGAGGATCGGCACCGCCTCCCCGTGCGGCCGCCCTCCCGCCTCATGCGGGTAGTAGCGGCAGCATAGCAACCAACATGGCGGCTGCGCAGTCACTAATTGGCGGCCGGCACAGTGAGAGTGGGGGGCGAAACGAGGGGGTAAGCTAGGAAAACTCGCGAGACTTTGTCGCGCACCCTCTTTATGATTGGCCGAGCTGCTCCGCCTGCAAGAGGGAGGGCGGGGCTGGGTGCCTGTTCCGCAAAGTGATTGGATGGGTCTACCATCAATCGAAGTGGGCGGTGCGACTTTTCCGTGCTGGAGCGCGGATTGGCAGTCGGAGCTGTCAGTCACCAGCGGTGTGCCGTGGCGTGCTGCGCTACGCGGTACTGAGCGCTGTCCGAGGCGCTCCCGGTGGCGTCCCGCTGCCCGCGGGGCTCTGGGCTGCCTCCCTGGCGGCGCACAGGGCGGGAGGAGATTGGGAGAGCGGGGCCGTCCTAACGGGGTACGCCCGGCCTCATCCCGCTGTTGTACAGAGCACTGTGATCATTTATAATACGCATAAACGTGGTTGGTTAGAAATTTCTTTAATCTCCGTTTATTAAAGCACAGCCTTTCACAACTTGACCAAGTAATGGGCATGTAGGGAACGAGTTCTTGGATTTCACAATTAAATTCCTAAATAGCAAGTGCATAATAATGCTATGGGAGTTTGCATGCACTCTTCTAATTAGGAAGCTTTCTAAAATCATGTCCTTTTGAAGTTTGGAAACCTCTATGTATCCAGCCTAAATTTATTCCCACTCATTTCATACCCATTTGTTCTTGTGCCAGTTCTCTTCCTTTGCTTCCATAGCCCTCCACTTTGCGCGTTTACTCCCAATTTATTTCTAGAAAGCAGCCGTACCCCTTCGTTTTATTTGGCTAATCATTCCAGCTCCCAGCTGCTCCCATTCTCCAGCACTGAAGCACAGGACTGCCCCATGGCCTGCAGTTGTACTGACAAACCCATTGTGTTTGAATCCAGACACGTCCAATATCCAAATTCTGCAGCTCTGAAATACTGCCAGCAGCAGCAGCAGCAGACAGAATACGCTGTCCTATGCATTAGAGATCCTTAGCTGCAGAGTTACCTTGGTTTCTTGAAAATTCTCCTTCAGATCATGCATTTATTCACAAGTTGCATAGATATGATTTAATCCATTTGCACATAAGCTTCAAAGTGCAGCTCTCACATTTCTGTATAATTCCTTACTCATACCTGGATCATGACAAATATACTGCAGTGTTCAGTTTGAGAATATCAATATTTTATACAGTGTAACAGAGAAACAACCCAAAATACTTGATATAACTGCAGAACTGCACAGTATTTATTTAGCAAATGTAACTTCAAGCTGTTACTAACAGACATGTCTTGCTAATGGGTGAGACACACAGATCCTGAAGGCTGGGCACTTTGCAGCTGTTTCCTCACGTTACCTGATCAGCCCTGACAAGCATCGCTTACAGAGGGCTCCATTCAAAGTCAGTAGAAGAGTCCCGCTGAATGCTCAGGTCAGGCCTACGCTGCAAGAGTGCTTTAAAAATAGACACTAAACTAAGTTCTCCAATTCATGACCTTACAGCACAAATGGAGCAAATTGGCAAGGCGAGATACTAGTATACAGACATTCCTCTCACCTTGCAATGCGGACTTCAGTACAGGAGAACTTTGCAGAATTACGACTTGTTAAACACTGAGTGACCGCATCCCAGAATCATGAATGAAAGAAAGCAAGCAGACTGCAGCATGACTCCATCATTGCTTACCAGAAAGAGAACACAATCCTTTCATACGTAAGATCTGCATTCAGCTTGCTTCTCTTTCAGGGGTTGTTCTGACATCAAAGAGCAATTTTTTTGCTACAGTCTGCCATAAAAAGTGCCTGCTGCATAACTGGTTCATGTGGCCACAGCTTCATACGCACACAGGTGCATGGGGATGGATCTGTATCATCACTGCTACATTTTGGGGGATCTGTTATCTTAATGAGTAGTAAGGTACTGCCAGTAAACACAAGTGAAAACATTTGCTAGAAGTTAAGCCTCACGACTCTGGTATAAAAGTAGGAACAAACAAAAGATTTTCCTTTACTTAGCAGATCTGTGGTATGTGTTTGTGCCAAAACCCTTATTACTCACTCAGGACCTGCCAACCAAGCTGTGGTAATTTATGTGAGAGAAACGCATACTAAAAATGTGAATGGGATTTTTAATGTCTCACTGAAATACCAAATGCAAACTGCTTTGTTGCCACGCTGACACACTTAAACACTGCATTAAAGCAATTCAAGATGAATGACTCTCACCACAAATGGAGTTTAGCTGGGAAAGGGAAGGAGACAAGGCACTTAATCTTAGCACTAAAAGCAAGTATGATGTATGTTTAATGGCAGATGCACTTTCTATACAGCGGGACCCTGATTCAGCACAACACTGAGGCACGCACGCCTTGCTCACTGAAACCCGAGGGGCACAGGCACAGCCCTGCAGCCAGATTGGCCAGATCCCACACGGCGCGTGCCGCTGGCATGTGCACGGCAGGCAAGCTCCTGCTTGAACGTGGCTTTGGGATCGCTGTCAGAATGCAGCAGTGTCAGAAATACTCAGAGTGCTTGCTCAGCAAAGCGCTGTGTAAGCTGTGGGGACAGAATCATTTCTTGTTTGGGGCAGGGAACAACTTTCACTTCACGTTCGTGCAATACTTGGTACAACAAGGCTCCACATGAGCTGGTAAAGTGCAATGTAATAATCATTTGTGTTAATAAACTTGCTGCATGTTTGAAGGCTGCCTGTATTTCTCCTGAAATATAAATTTAAGAGATAGATAACCTTCCAGGGATACACTGACTGAGAATGAAAGCTGAAGGGAACATACGTAGCTATAGCACCTAGACCACGTTTTGCTAAGCCTTTTTTTTTTCCTCCAGCCAACTCTCAACAAACTCCTTTGCCTTTAACGTGCATCCAAGCACCACAAGGCTGCATTTCCATATACACACTGCACATACCTGAGCCTTTTGTGAATGTCATCTGTACATCCACTGGTGGAATACTGGTATTTTCTTCTTCTGCCCAAAACAGGAACTGCACACATTCTGGCAAGTTAAATATAAAGCCATCATAAAGGAGGCCAAAAGATATTTTGAAGCATTAAATCATTTCAAAATAGAAACAGTAAAAGAACAGTAGAACTGCCAAGAAATGTGAACAAGCAGCAGGTAATGGCCTCACACTATGGCCTGAGCAGGACTTCTGCCTCATGCCTTTTGCTTCCTATTGTGCCCTAAAATGTGGATATTGGACACAAGAAGCCCCAGTAAAACACTACAGTGAATGAAACATCAAGTAAACACTTTTAGAACCTTAAAAAGCATTGGATCAAAGTTTTGAGATGAGATCCACAATGATCTTATTTTAGGCAAACCACTTTCATAGATTTAAAGCCAGAAATGCCCATTTAGTTACATGTAGCCCATTTAGTTTGACTTAGCCCAAAGAACCTCACCCAGTAATTTCAGCTGCAAGCCTATAACTTTGGTTTGAGCTATGTTGTGCTTTAAAATAGTTTTTGCCTTTTCTAGGTCCCTCATTAAGCAACCCAGCTACCAATTGCCACTGAAGCCTCTTGGCTTTGTAACTTCTCACCATGAATTCTCATAAGAAATGAGTAATTGTTCCCAGTTCATCTTCCCTCCATCAGATATGATTTCAGTGAAAATACGATAAATGAGAATTTGTCATCTATTTTGCAGGTAGTCCTGGAGCCTGGAATATTGGAGAGGAGTGAGAAAGCAGAAAAGTACTGACGGGCTCAATTTGTAAGGAATTAGCTCCATTCTGCTATTGATTTGTTTTTGTAGTTACAAAGTAAAAAAGAGTGTTCTGAAATGAGCAGCTCAAGCATGGCAATTCCAAGCTTTAATTTTTAATTTTTCCCCCTTCTGTAAGTGTCTCTATTCAGCCCTGTATCTGGCTGAACTCTAAGAACCTTTCAGGAATTTGAGACGGTTTTCCTTCAGAGCCAGAAGTTACAGAGCAGTGACTTTAAAGAAGACAGTGCCTTTGCCCAGGTCGCTGCGTTCTGCACTCAATGCTATTTACATTTCTGTTGCTAAGATGGCCCTTACTGAGCAATGGCTGCACCATATTCTGTAAGTCGATGCAGTCCCTGTAGATAAGGAATACACATTCCACCTCTGTAAAATAACTGTTTTCGTTCATTTTGTTTCTTTGCTCTGAAAGGGAAGTGCCACAATGAGTCCAGATGAACAGTTATCATATTTCAGCTCAGTTGCAAGTTGCATCAGGGAACCTTTTGAGAAACAGAAATACATATAGAAGAGGGGCAGAGAAAATGTCTGCCTTGTCATCTCTTCACCTTTTATTGCAAGGGATTACAAAAAATATTGTAGTGTTTGGTTTCTTTTGCTTTTCACAGGCGTCTTTACAAAAGTTTGCATAGAACTCACTCATGTGAAACACAGAGGGACCATATGTCACCTCTCACTGCCTGGCACATCCTCTGTTGAGGTTCTGAGGTCTACATTGTCTGCCAACAGCAGGCACTGGCAAAAGGCTTTTCCTCAATGTAATCCATAGTCAGACATGCAAGCCTGGCCCTAAAAGCATTGTTCTTTGCTTTGTGTAGCATGATGTATTTCAAAAATAAGTGTTTTTTACAAGTTAATATCTCCAAAGAGAAAAATAAAAGTGTTTATTGAGTGTTATGGTTTGCTTCCACCTTGCATTAATGATCTCCTTGTGGTACAGAAAACTGCCAAATTTGACCTTTCCTAAGAAAGACACAAAAGAGGGCACAGCAGCAAATCAGCTAAACAAAACGTGTGCAAACTGCTTCCTGGTACACCCACACGCTGGCCCCACTGCAAAGTAATTAAAATTGTCAAGAGAGATTTTGACCGGTTAAGTTCTTCCAGGAATGGTACAGCTGGTTCTGAATTCCTGATTCACAGAATGCTCACTTTCTGGCTTACTGAAGTAGTCCCAGAGTTCGTGTCATAAAATAGCAAAAATTGCTAGAAAGTTTAGGCTGATTGGATGGGAATTGGCCAGACTAACTGTAATACAAAGTGTCATCAATTACACACAATTCAGCTCTCTGCATTTTCAAATCAGGGGAAAAAACTTGTTTGCAAATCAAGACAGCAAAATGGTTGCACGCGTTCCTTCTTATTTAAAAAATACACGTAGCCTGAAAGTAGTACAGATGGAGCATCCCAGATGATGTCCTGCCTCAGAAACAGCCAGCAGAGGAGAGGACTAGAGAGCAACTGGCTGCTATCTGGATAACACTCTGAAAAGACCCTCAGCACAGGCACATGTTTGCTTCTGGGTTAGCAGGGAAACAGGCGCAGGGAAGCCAGTAGTGCAGTGTCAGCCCCACTGATCATAGCCTGAGTTAAAAAATGTGAAGATAGCACTGTAGTGCACTCACACTACTATTCTACCTGCACCTATCTCGCTCAGCCACAAAGGGACCACACACTGAGGACAGGGTGGCTCATCGCTTCATCTCTCCAGCAACACCAACAATGAGGCTACCAATTAGTTCCAGTTTTAATGTGGCTTTTATCTGATCTGAACTCTCCATTCTTACAGCATCTCTCTCATGCTGCCCACAGCTCATGAAATTTGCTTATTATCTAAGAATCTTAGCTTTTATGTATTATTTACGAGCAGCAGTAGTACCGATGATAAGAATAATTTTGATGTTTCTAGTCGTAAGAGTCATGGGGACTTGGAAATATGAAAGTGAAAAAAAAAAAAAAGCAAAAAAAAAAAAAAAAAAAAAAAAAACCAGAATGCAAATTAAAATGCAAATATATTTTGTATTTCACAAGTTGGGAACAATTTTGGTTTTGGCAAGAATGTTGCCAAACTCTCAAGTCACCTTTGGGATAGACAAAAGTGCACAAGAACAAATTCCTCTCCACATAACCAAGTAAAAACCTAGAGTCTGTATCTTCCTGCCCTAGCTGCGTCACTTACTTGACCATGAGAGATAGTTTTTTGTTGGTGCTTGCTGCTCTTTCCTGTGTTCTCAGAAAACAGGAGTGTCCTCCTGATTGTGCTGGAGCCACAGGGTGGGACCACCAGCAGGAAAACACTGAGTAATTAGGGACGGGCTGAAAGGCACTGCAAGAGGTGATCCCAAGAGCCACCCTGATCAAAGGCACTCCCTACACCAAGACAGGAAGATAAGGACCCCCACCTTACCTTTCCTGGCTGGCATCCTATGAAGGGATGAAGGAGTAAACATATCTGAACACGTCACCATCTTGTTTAGAAGATTTAGTGAGGACAAACGCAGTGACCCTCGAATCTTGTACTACATACTGGTTGGTGTCACAAGGCTGACACAGATGTTCTGTAACAGCTTGCCAGTGTGCATCAGTGGTGGCACTCAGAGTACTGCAAAGAAATTGCATCTCTGATAATTTGGGATTAATCACAGCGTTCTCTGGAGCTACCCTTAATGAGGCACATATTTACCATCTACTTTGTATTTCTGCCCAAGGCAGCACATTTCCATGCCCTATCATGAGGAACTGGCTCTGCAACCCCATCATTAGTTTCCTAGCTGGATCCCTTCTGCAGCAGTGGTGCTTCCACAGGACTCTTCACCATCAGCTGTGCCCAGAGGCAGGTTTTGGTGAACGGATCTGTGCTCCTTTGTTCACCTCCCCATAAGATACTAAAGACATTATCCACATAATGAAGTCCCAATAACATCCGAATAAAGTAATTGTAAAACAAACCTCTGTTCTTTACTCTGCTAAGTTCTTTGTTATTGAAAATAAAGCTCTTTTTCTCCCCTCATACCTTCTGTCAGGACTGTCCTCCGCCACATCCCACATCCCTGACAGCTCCCATCTGGCAGGGGTTGGGGCAAAATCCATGGTACAGCAGCTTGGGGTCTGTCCTTAGACTGGAGACAGTGTGTGAATGCAAGACAAGCAAGATTGGTAGCAGCAAATCCTGCAATGCACAGGGTTAAAAGCACATTTCTGCTCTCGTTTTTTTTTCTGTTATTTACCCTTTCTCCACTAGATGCTACACTGAGACCATCAAACATTTATTGAGTCAAATAACATAAATTTGAAGACTCAGCACAAAAAAAAGTCTTTAAAACAAAAGCAGTAATAGTGTTACTCTATCCATACATCTGTGGGGTGCATAGATGAGAGTAACGCATTTCCCACTAGAGTAACTGCACTGACTTTAAAGCAGCATCCTTCTGGGAGCTGCGTGGCAGAGGATAAAGCAAGTCTGCTCCTATGCTGTTGTTACTCATGTGCAACTGTATCAGGTAATTACCCAATGAATGAAAGGTTTACCAAGATCATGCCATGAAATATAAAGTTCAGTGAACCATATATGCCAATGCAATGAGTCTTCTTTTCCCTTTACCTTAGGAATCAAAAATTGTGTACCTAACTGAATAAGAAGTATGGTAGATCCTACTTTTAATGACATTTACAGTTCAAATACTATCGCAGATAAGCATTATTTTCCTGTCGTTATGCAAGGTTCTGACCCTGCCAGCTGGGGAAGCACTGAATGGCATGGCTCCCACAGAGCCTGCCAGCCCCTTTCCTAAGCTGTGTTGTGTATTGTGCAACACCTGCTAGTAAACAAACTGGCATCCTCTTACCTTCTGGTGCAGCAGAGCCAGACCAGTACTTCTGCACAGCCCTCCTCACGTGACGAAGTAAATACATCAGGATCTGTCTCAGAGGTTCTATGTAGACAAAGCAAAATGAGGATCAGAACTGTTTCAGTGAAGTCTCAGGGCTGTGTTCTCATCAGGTCCTTTTTACCCCAGACTCCCTGAAGTCTGCTTGCTGTGAATCCCTTGCCTTAAAACACGCTACTTGGAAAGGCTATGAATGTTACAGCTCAATTGCTGGCACTTCTGTGATTTTAGGAAGAGGGAAAATGTGATCTGGGGAAAATTCAGTATGACCTGGTTAAGGTACAACAGCAGTGCTGTGCTTTCTTTCCAGCAAAAAATAATCCCAAAGCATGGCTTCACAACAGTGCCTATCCTGCTGTAATATTTAATTTGCCTATCTAAGCTTACTCTGGGACAACAGTTGGGATAGATAATGATGTTTTGTTAAAGCTGAAACAAGGCCTTATAAAAGTAATTATTTATAGTTTTAGGAACCCAACATGCTGCTGTGATGAGCTTCAAAATATCTGTGATATACAGCAGATTAAGACCAGATGCTCAGCAGTCTGTCACTGAGCCCTGGCCTCCTTATTGGCCATTCACAAGCTCATCTTCAGATTAGTATAGAGAAAGGTGGATTAAGAGACAGAGCGGGGAAAATATCTGCTTTTTTCTCCTTTCTTCTCCATAGATATGGTAAAGCTTAAATCAGTTTAGCCAGTGACAATACACAGCATTATTCTAAGCTATGGACTATTGACTGAGTTTCAGAGATTTAATTTTGGTGGCATTCCCCTCAATACTTCATAGCGAGGTATGGGTGACCTACTGAGGATCAGGAGAAAAATCAAGAGAACTACAGTTACTTACACTGAGAAGCAAGTGTTAAAAATAAACATTTGTCCTCTGGTGCTTCTCTTCTTAGTTTCTCCATCCAAAGAGCTAAAAGCAAACAAAAAAGCTCAGTCGTGAAGTAGGTCACAAATCTCTGAGCACTCAAACAAGAGGTCATAACCTGTATGAAATTGAGTTTGCTTTGCAATGATCCTCGGAAATTAGGGCTGTATCATTGGAGGGATTCTGCATACCTCTGGGAATGGCACACGGGAGCACTGCTGAGTTCCTCAGAGATCCAGTTGTGGGCCCATCACTAGACCTGAAATTAACTTCTGATTTTGCTGGCAGACTTGTAACAGGTCACTGGGTGGGAGCTGATTCTTGTCATTTGTAAGAAGAAAACCCAAATGTTATGTGGACCCTTCTGCTCCAAATAATCATCTGCTAGAAGTGCTACACAAGAAAAAAGCATCAAAAAGAAATGTCACAACATTAGAAAAAGTGCTTAACTGGATTTGAATAGCAATAGGAATAGCAGTAGGAAGGAAGGAAGACATCTTCCGGGGCCAATTCCTTCATCTTGCATGCAATGAATGGTGCTGCCCCCAGCCACGTGCTACAGGTACCAGGGAAATCTCACTAACCCCAAACCCCTACTGTAGAATGCCTGCCTGCCATTTCAGAGGCAAATGAATCCTGAGAAGGCCTGGATAAGTGATGTCACTTTCAGGTAACAAGCACAGGGAACATGTATACTCTCATAAAGTTTGACCCCGTGATATAAAAACTCAACAGCCTTTCACCATCTGTTCTATGTAGCACATTAAAGGAACACTGCACTGCTTTTGTGGCAACTAATCTCATTATCTCCTCCAGCCCTCCCCTTTCTCTCCCAGTTCAACTGCCTTTCACTTACTGTCTTCTTGCCACTCACTGCCTCACAAACTCCCTGAATCCTATTTTACTTTGTGCCAGCATTTCCATCCTTCTTTTGAAAGGTGGCTGTTCCTACAGGTGCTCCTTCTGCTGTCCTTTCTCTTGGCCCCAAGGATCTCTGTGAGGCATCATCCTCATTTTAAGTCAAGTAAGGAATTGTCAAATATCCCTTCAGATATTGACAGACATTGATGAGATCCCCCTCAGCCTCCTTGTCTCCAGGCTGAACAGTCCAGCCCTCTCAGGCTCTCCTACCTCTAAGATAAGTCTGACCCAGGTTGCTTCTACATCAGAAATCACCAACATCTAACTAAGCCAACTGAACCATCGCTTACTGAAGTGTTAATTGTGAAACCACATGCAGAAGTGTGACTTGGCTCAGGTAAGCGCACAAGCCCACATCGGAGTTCAAACCTGTTCAGCTCCACAGTGCAATCTCAAGGCACTCAGCATGAAATCTGCAGCCATTTATTCCTGAGAGCTGCCAGTAGCACCTCATTTTCTCCTTGAGCGAGGGGAAAGGCAGAGCACTACTGGTACTGAGGGGAAGCCATGCGCCTCTGAAGTAAAGCTTTCCAGAGTGAACAGAGTGGAGGGAGGGCAGGCAGTGTGGCGAGCCAGAACACATCAGCCTGAGGCCACATAGTAAGGATATCAAAGAGTACAGACAAGCCTGTGTGAAACCCTTGGTCCTTAAGTGAGATGTTGGATCTCATGTGGTAAAGATCAACAGAGACCTGCTTGACCCCTGGCTGACATATACCAACAAGCACATAGTGCACGAGGATCCCACTCACATTCCTTCCTAGCAGAATAAAAGTGGTCCAGAAGCTGCTACACAAGCCCTGTACTGAATATCTGCACTAAGGAATCTTTCACAGATACCGTTTTTCGGAATTGTCTGCAGATAAGAAAAAAAAATAATCTGTGCTCAAAATTGTCCTTACAGGATACTCTCTAAGTATAATTTGTAACCAACCATTCACATTTACCACTGTTTTCTGGAGGGATGCTTCTTAACAAGTCACAGGATTGTACAGCTAATTCAGCTTTGCCACTTACAGCATGCAGTCTCTTTCTGTGCACCAGCAACATCTTTAATTTACATAACATACATTACTAAGCTGCTCAGGTGTGACTATGCTGTAAAACCTACATGATTCTAGCAGGGCTTTGTGTAAACATTATTTATTTGCTCTACCAGCCTATGTCAGCACAAAATGATAGCAGGCATATAAGGCAAGGTTTTCTTTAGCGTAAAGATCAGTCACAAAATCATGATCTTTTTTCTGCAGTATAGGCTCTAAGCCCATACTCTCTGTCTTGAATTCTTTTCCAGACACAATGCAAGATTGTGCTAGAATTGGATGGAGAAACTGGCATCAGATGGGACGATGAAGGCCTCTGACCTTTGTAGAAGAGCTAAACAATGGCGTTTGAAGAAACACGGCAGCTAATGTTGATGTTCCTTTCATAAGAAAACCAAAATGTATAGTTTCCTGCGTTGCATCCAAATTACAACTGAAGCCTCAAACCAAACACTAGCAATACAACACTAGTGCAAATATGATGAAGAAATATTATTTACGTATGCATACACACAGGGATATCAGATCAATTCACATAGCTAATTCTGAAATAAGGTTCCTGTGCAACTAGTCGGTTTTGTTCCAATCTTGTGCACAATCTAAAGGTGTTTCCACTTGTACTGCCAGTGGACTGCAATAGGCGGTTACACAACTCAACACATGCCCCATTTAGGCCTGAAAACTCATCTTGCCCAGGTCTCAAGATTGCATTTCTCTCACGATCAGTAATTTACTACTTGAGATTTGTGCTCAAGCCTTCTGGCAGTCTTGTGCCTGTTCCTTCCAGGTCTCTGCTGTCACCTTGTGCTAGTACTCCTGGTGCCTGCACAATATCTCCTGCTGTTCTTAGTAGGCTTCAAGATATGGCTAACATTTTATTGCCACAATCTAACAACGCAGAGATCTCTGTTGTCGGGCCATTGGTCAGTCCACTGTACTGAAATAATGGTCTGGTAGGATGTGTACATAGATAAACAGAGAGAGAATGTAATAAACATACATAATGCTTTAGTAACTATCTGTTATTAATATCTGCTGTTTATGGCAATATTACTGTTTTGTTATCAAAATTGCTTAACAACATATGCGAAGCTTTAACCAGACATATGGGCTGATACAGTCTAGAGAGCTTTTTGAAGTCAGAGGGTGAATAATTGAACCAGCTTAGCTTTAAATCCTCTCACAAACCACATATTTTACGGTATCAAACAACCTCAGTTTGCTTTAAAATGAGCTTTCTGAGCAAGAAGTTAAATCTGAAAAAATGTTATTACTGGTTGATATTCTGTTTTTCCCTTAGACATGCCTCATACTCGTCTCTGTGGCTTAGAGCATTTTTTTGGGTTTTTTTTGGTTTTTTTTTTTCAATGCCTGT